TAAGCATAATATTTCATAAACATAATAAAACATATTTCATAAAACATAATGAACTGTCTGATATAAGCCACATTCAAAAAGTTATTATTAATATATAAAAAAATATACTAATAATAATATATAAAAATATTATTAATATCCAAAATAATTGTATTATAAAATATAATAAAATAATGTATTATAATGTAATCTACATAAAAATAATAGAATACTACAAAAATAAAATGTAATCTACATTAAAATGCTAAAACAAGATCATATTTTTATTTTCTTTGAGTAAATATTGTTTTTGTTGAAGCACACAATGCTTGTATACAGAATATAACTTCTCAAATATATATCACAAATGAATCATGTTTAATTAATTTAGTATATCAAATTAATTAACCGCATACAAATTAATGAGTTCCACAATAAAAGTTTAATGCCTTTGCAAACACCAATGAATATTCTTCCGTGTCCCCCAAAGCTGCCTGCCGTTTCAGAGTTGTACATTTATTCAATCTTTAGAGGTAAAATCATATTCCAAAGAAATTGGCGCAATGCTGCAACAGACACAGTAGAATTACATTGTAGCCTCGGTGTGGTGGATGATGGGAAAAAAGTGTCAGGTGTTATTGAACGCTGGTGTCTGTCCTCCCCCCGGAGGCTGAATGGATTCTGCCGAAATTATCACTGTCAAGGCCAATCCAATAAAGGTACAGCCTCTTCTATAAGCCCCTCTCTCTTTCAGACATTTCCCTTTCTTTCTCCCTTATAGATACATGTGTGTGTGTGTGTGTGAGTGTTAAATTTAAACCATGTGATCTGCTTCCCTCCTACCCAGTGTGTGTTGTGAGACAGTGTTCTGGTTCAGATAACAACGCTGTAATGAAACAAGGGAGCTCCCAGGCAAAGCTTGCACACACACACACACACTCACACATGCACGATAGCAGTGCTGTAGTAGGGAATAAGAAAATGCATAGTGTGCTTTGCCCTTGGCTGCGTGCGAGTGATTGTGCATGGAGAGCGGGGAATAAAGAACCGAGGAAGGAAAATAGGGGGGACTTCATACATTTTTATGACCACACGAGATAAGGTCAGTTGTGTGCCATTGTTACTAGGCAACACTGCAACCCGGTATCGGATTGAGTTGTGAAGCTGAGCAGTCAAATTCGCAAGCTTTATTGGACTCATCTTTTTTATTTATTTATTTATTGTACAGTTGTTCAGAATGACACACTTGCTGGTCATTTATTCTAATTGTCAAACACAAAAAGATATACTAAACAATAATGATGACAGCAATCAGCCACACTGTCAGCCGCTTTCAAAATCTGAAATGTGAAATATGCTGGCTTCGCACACAGTAGAAGGAGGTGGGAAGGCATTAAAGCACACTTGTAACCAGCAACCTGTCTATTAAGTTGCACTACATGGACAAAAGTATTGGGGCACACCTTAATGATTGAATTCACCACAGGTGAATGAAATCAAGCCATGCAGTGGTCATTTACAAACACTTGATTTGAAGAGCAAGTGTGGTACTGTGCTAGGATGCCACTTTTGTGATAAGCCAGTTTGTGAAATTTCATCCCTGCTAGATATTCCAAAGTCAACTATTATTGGAAAGTGGAAGCATTTACAAACAACAGCAACTCAAACACAAAGCAGAAGACCAGGTAAAGTCACAGAGGAGCATGGAGTGTAAAAGTCGCTAACGCTCTGCTGATTCCACAGACCACAGCTGAAGAGTTCCAAACTTCTACTGCCATTAATATCCACACAAAAACATCACTGCATGCATTTCCATGGCCGAACAGCTGCATGCAAGCCTCACATCACCAAATACAATGTCAAGCGTTGGATGGAGAGGTGTAAAGCACTCCACCACTGGATTCTGGAGCAGTGGAAACCTGCTCTGTGAAGTGACGAATCACGCTTCTCTGTTTGGCAGTCTGATGGGTGAGTCTGGGTTTGGTGGATGCTGGGAAAATGAATGTGAAATCCCTGTTGGTGTAATGGTCAGGTGTCCCAATAATTCTGTCCATATAGTGTACCTTCATTTGATCATAGATGTTCCTTTGCTGATTGCCCCTTTTCCTGAAACATAAAAATGATAGACATGGTACATTGGTAGTCATACTTAAACCTAAAGTACATTCATAGAAAAAAAAAACTGTTATAGCAAATTAACATAACACATTGATATTTCTGCAGTATTCAGTATGTACATTTTTTGTATACACAGTATTTGCCAAAATGTGAAGAATTCAACAGAACCACCAAAATCTCTTTTAAAAATCAATTCACTCAGCAGCCATATTTTGGCAACCCCTTCAGGCTATTTTGGTCACGTTGTTCAAATCAGTAATACATTTTAACATGAGCTATCTCAAAAATGTTCCAACCAAAGCGCTCATGACTTCCTTTATGTAAATATTCGATAATATTTGATAATTTATTTTACAGTACTAACATTTATGTCTTATATTCTTCACTTCCAAATGTCACACTGTCAAACTTTTAACATTTGAAATCCTAAAGTTTTAATTTTGGTGGAATACCGGTTAAATCCTCTAAACTTAGTAGAAGTTTATGCAGTGTTGGAAATGCGTTAAATAAAGTACACCCTAGTGCATGTTGCATTCACAAATGAGTGTTAAAGCACATGCAGTGATGGAGTTCACAGCATTTACTGTGAATTGAGACGCACCGTGATGTTGAAAACACCAGATCATAACACAGTGTCATGTAGTGCTGTCAAACGATTAATCGCATCCAAAATAAAAGTTTTTGTTTACATAATATGTGTTTGTTCTGTGTTTATTTATTATGTATATATAAATGCACACACATACAGTATATATTTTGAAAATATTTACATGTATTTACGTGTATATATTGATATTTATATAACAGATAAAACATTTAATATATAAACATAACATATTTTTCTTAAATATATATATGTGTGTGTGTGTATTTATATAGACAATAAATATACACAGTACACACACACACACATATATTATGTAAACAAAAACGTTTATTTTGGATGCAATTAATCGCGATTAATCGTTTGACAGCACTAGTGTCATGCTTCACTAACACACAGCACATCAGATTATACAGTTATTTAATTCAATTGCAGCCTTGGATTTGATAATTGCACTATGCTATATTGCAACCATTGCTTATTTTAAATTTTATGATTGATTATTATCTTTTGATGCAGCATGAAGACGTGACAACACTATAGCACATTGCATTATAGAACTTTTTTCATATACTATTTTTATTAAATAGTAAACAATAAATGGTGTAATGTGCAGTACATACTAGTATTTAGTATGCTTTTAAATGATCTCACTAAAAATAGTCGATGTCTTAAAGAATAATCTGTGTAATAATGTTTTGTTCACAATGATTCAGTTATTGCCCTGTAATGTTGCTCAAATGTGCTGTGTGCTAAAACTGTGGAAAAAAAATACACAAGGCACATAGCCCTGTTCTGTTCTTGTCTCCCCAACCCCGCCTTCCCACCACTCCTTCAACATTTCCCTCTCTCTCCTCCCCTCATTCGAGCATTCTAACCCTCTCAGTGCCCTAGTTTAGTACTTCAAGGTTGGCCACATATATTCTACCCCATGCCTTAAGGCCAGCCAATGGCAGGCGAGCAGCGGTTGCAGTGGAAGGGTGGGGCTATAGTGTCATACAGCAGCGCAGCCAGTGGCCAGTGGGAGGCAAGGATCTGGGGGGGTTGGGGGGGTTTGGTTGCTGCCACGGGTGTGTGGTGCTTGTTTTAGTGTGGCAGGTCACATCGGGGAAGAACCTGAGAAGAATAGACGGCATGTGTGCGATGAGCAGAATTACAGAGGCTGAGGGTGGAAAATTGACTGGCTGTCATTCATCATACTTCCACTGCCCAGGGAAAGTGCTTTTGTTTTATGCAAGAATACTATAAGATGTAAATATTAGGATTAGGCATTAGATATAAAAATAAATAATTAACAATTATTGCTATACCATCAGGGTTATAATGGTTAACTAAAACTAAAAAACTAAAACCACCACCAAAAAAAAAAAAAAATCCCTTACTTGAATTTAATATTAACTGAAATAAAAGTTATATACATACCCTACCATTCAAAAGTTTGGGATCAGTAAGTTTTTAATAATGTTTTTTTTTTTTTTTTAAAGAAGTCTCATATGCTTATCTAGGCTGAATTTATTTACTGAAAAATCTAGTAAAAACAAAATAACAGTATTCTGTTTTTCTATTGGAAAATAATTTTATTTAATAATTTAATCTAATTTTCTATTGGAATATATTATAAAATATAATTGGTTCCTGTGATGCAAAGCTGAATTTTCATCAGCCAGTCTTCAGTGTCACATGATCCTTCAGAAATCATTCTATGCTGATTTATTATTATTATATATATTTTTTTGGAACCTGTGATACTGTATTCTTTGATTAATAAAAAAGTTCAAAAGAACAGCATTTATTCAAAATAGAAATCTTGTGTAACAACATAAGCCTTTACTATCGCTTTTCATCTATTTAATATATCCTTGCTGAATGTAATAATTAAAAAAAGAAATGTATAAAAAACAGTACAAACATGCATACATACAGTATGTATGCGCATACACACACACACACACACACACACACACACTGTATATATACTGCTTATATAACTTATTTTAAATAATTAAAAAAAAATCTTTTTTATTCTAGCTAGTTGCCAACATTTATCATTTTAATTTAGTTAAACTTGATGTTTGCACATAGTCAAATAACTAAAACTTAAACTGAAAAAAAAGAAGAATTAAAACTATAAACAAAAACTAATAAAAATAACAAAAAACTATAATATAAAAATAAAATGTATTCAAAATACTAATGCAAATATAAAAGTACCTAAACGATACTAAAATAACACATGTATATACTATATTATATTCTGGTTTTAAATGGTATTTTTATGAAAAATAAGCTAATTCTATCCTTAAAGGGATAGTTCGCCTAAAAATGAAATGTATGTATTTTCAATCCTGTATAATCTCAATTCATTTAAAATCACAAGTAACTTGTAAAGACATTCAAGTCACTACCAACTAAAAATCTTTCCATGAATAGTACACATGAAACATCTTTCATATTTTCATTCACAAAGAACGTTGACATATTTGGATATTTTAAACTGAATGCAACCGGGACAGTTTACATTAGAGTGTTAGAAAAAGTTGTTTGAAAACTATTATTGGTGTTTGCTAAGACACGTATTGCTCATTTGAACAACCCCCTAATTCTAAGCATCAAAATGATATGGATAGCTCATTCTGGTTGTGAATGTTAAATCATGTGGCTATTACTTTCTTAAGTGAGCAGGAAAAAAAAAAACATGTAATGCAATAGCATACACAGAAGACTCCAGCAAATACCATCCAAGCATTATTTATTTTCATGTTTTCCTATAAAAATCAAGTTGTTCTTGCAGTTCTGTTTGGTTCAGAAATTACACACTTCACCTTTAAATGAAAACAATATTCCCAATTACTCTAATGAAAGCCTCTTCCCTATTCATGAAAGGACAAAGTCAGATTTTAGAGATCCTTCTCAATTAAATGATCTTATCATGACAGACTTTGAGCTGACTTTTAGCTCAATAATGTTACAGACTGTCTCTGTCCTGTCAGCCTCAGTCAATCTGCCCTTGTCCCAAAGGTCATCTCTCTGCTACAAGCACAAACTCCGCTCTGATAGAGACAGCACGTCTGCAAGACTTAAAGGAGTAGTTCACCCCCAAATGAAAAATCTGTCATTACTTACCCTCATGTGGCTGAATCTTGAATCTATGAGTCTTGACACACCTCTTTCCATACAACCACATCTTTAAAAGTTCCAAAAAACACACACACAAAAAACAAACAAACAAATAAAAATATGCACTCCGAGATGTATTCCAAGGCCATACAAAGCATATTACTACACACAAAACCCATTGCAACTGTCATGATGCTGGCATGGCATTTAAAAAATTTTATTCGGTAAACTAAACATTCATAAAGACAGATGTTATATTATAATTATAGTGGTGGTATGTGATATATGTAATAATTAGGGCTGTCAGTTTAACGTGTTAACTTAATGAATTAGTTATGGAAAGATAATGTGATTTAAAATATTTTAACGCAGTTAACGCACTGGCCCCATCCCCAGATATGATGCAGGGCAACAACAATTATTTATAGAGAGTAATTAGTGGCCAAAAATGCCCCTGTATGAGTTTTTGTCTCATATTTATATCATATGATAAGCGATATCTCACGAGCAGCGAGAGCAATATTACACGAGTGCTGATTTTGTCCTGAATATCACGAGTTTAAATTTGATTTTATACAACAGTTTAGTAAATAAGAAGTTGATATTGTGTTATATAACACAATATTATGTGTTTTTGCTCAATTTTGCAGAGAACATATTACCTTTTAAAGCCATAGCAGAATTGTAGTGCGTCTCCGAGCAACACAGCGGTGTTTACTTCCTGGATGAGATGTTTCTCAAATGATCTTCTTTTATGTTCCATAGTTTGTTAGGCCGCTGTAGCCTAAATGTTTCTGTACTAAATTTTAAGTTGAATCAAATCAAATATTTATTTCTAAAGTTACAATTTGTACTGTCTACTTTTTTTACACCACGGACCGGTTACGTTTGTAAAATTTTCTCGTGGACCAGCTGGACGCTGGGGTTGGGGGCATGGTTGCCAGGTTTTCACAACAAAACCCGCCAAATTGCTACTCAAAACTAGCCCAATCGTGTTCCGGGGGGTAAAATACACGTTTTTGGTAGGGTTTCCCTTATAAAATTTGCATTTTAGGGGCTAAATATCATGTTATTGGGGTCGCTTCAACCCGCGGCAACAGTATTAAAGTAGCCCAATTCCGTGGGAAAACCGTGGACAGATCTAATTATTTTTTCGGATAAGCAAGAAAAAAAAAGTATTTAAAGCACAATGACAATACCGTGAAGCGGTTTTGACATAAGCTAATTTTATGTGTATATATGCAACTCGGTATTTCCGCGCTGTCTGAAACACATGTCTATATGCTTGTGCGCACTTTGATTGTGTGCGAGAACCGCGCGTGAGTATCGAATTGAGCTCTCTTTCATTTCTTATTCTTGTGGTTTAAAATAGCTTGAACGTGTAAATTGGCAAATTTATCTGCGAATCACGTGCGTGCCGAACAGTATAGGGTCTCGTCCGTACGTATCACAGATCAACTGCGATAGTCACATCTATACACATTTTTCCCAGAACGCTCTTGCGACCCGGTAGCAATTCTTCCACAGCCCGGTAGTGGGTCGCGATCCGGTGGTTGCGGACCTCTGATCTACTTGATACTTTTCTCATTTAACACAAAAATAGTAGTGCTGGGCAACGATTACAAATTTTAATCGTGATTAATCGCACGATTGTCTGCGATTAATCGCATTGTTATGCACAACATTCAAAAGTAGTGTATTGTGCACTTTTTTTTATTTAGAAGTACTGCTATGTGAACAAAAGTGCAATAACATTTGGTTTGCAAAGACTTTAAACAAATAAGGTGCTTTTTTACAGCAGTATTCCTTTTACATAGTAGCAGTTAAAATATTTATTGTAAATCTCAACTTATAACATTAATGTAATCACCTTCCGTGTAGAGACCTGCACTATTGCGGTACCCAATGCAACAGAGTGTGGCGCGGGACAACACTAGATGGGCGAGTGCGGGCGGGTAGAGACTCGTGTGTGCAGGATGCGGGAGAATAAGGGTGTACTCACACTAGGCAATCTTAACCGTGCCCAAGCGCATTTGACCCCCAAAGCCCGGTTCGTTTGACTAGCGTGATCGCTCCATGCCGCAGGCAGGCCGGCCCTGGCTCGGTTGGAAGAGGTGGGCCAGAGCGTGGTTCAGTTGGGCTCGGGTGCGGTACGCATGTAGTTTGAGCGCTAATCGCGCCGGAGCGCGGAACTTATGGTACGTGCTGCATGATTGCGTGAACATTTCTGAGCGGCAAAAGTGATAGATCTGTAAAGCAATATATTGTGAGAAGGCCGTGTGTTACCACGTCCCAAACGACTCAAAATAATAAACCACAAAGTTAACAAAACTATGATCTCCACTGTGCTGAGCGAGAGCGCTTCTCTGCTGTCTTCACGTGCTATCGGAAACTTCCTGTTTCCCACTTATAAAGTCGTTAGTGCATTGGTTGAGATGCGTGATGACACTCATCCCAAGCCAGTACTGATCAACATCCCACCCCTCCTGTGACCCATGGTTTGTCTGTATGTGTATTCAGAGCCAGTGAGCAACGGACTTTCATAATAAAAAACTGCGTTAACGCGCGATAAAATAATTGTCGGCGTTAATCAATTAATGCGTTAGCGCGATAATAACGCGTTAACTTGCCCAGCCCTAAAAATAGCTTTAAATAATCTTTTTCGACTGACAGCCATAGTAATAATATTATTTTAATTTAATGTAAATTAATATATTGTACACGTACATACCAGTGTTACTTTTTTATTCATTTAATTGCAACTCAATCTCAAACAGCATCCTTAGATTATGAAGGAAAGAATAGTGACATCAGACGTGCAAGAGATACAAGCTAATACGGAAAATTAAAAAAACAAAAACAATCTGTGAATGCCAGAAATTCACCATAAAAAATACAGTGACAATGTTTCAGGTATTACATGATGGCATATTTGTGCCAGTATATTTTATAGCTTATAACCATGTATTTTACAAAATCTGCGTTCACCTTTAAATGTAATCAAAACCACCATGATAATATAGGTGGAATAACAGAAAGCCACATAATGAATCATAAGTGGCCTGTCAATGAAACATGGTCAATACTCAGATGATACATAGGGATCAAGACAAAACACTATCAGGGTAAGGCATGACACTAAAATAATGCAATATTGTGAAATTAACGAAATAACATAAAAGCACCCTTTTACGGATAACAAAAAATCTAAAAATAACAAAACTGTTTAAATAAAATATTATCATATGCTATTTGCCATGCATTTTACTCATATGGGTTTTCTTGTACAATTTTTACTGTAACTTTTTTTTTTTTATATAGTGAAGCCTATTACTCAAGTAAACTTAAAAACAAACAAAATACTGTCGCCTGAGGCAATCATTTAACAAATGACATATCACATATACATCACATGAAAAATTCTTAATACTGTCATCAAATAAGATCAGAAAATAACATGAAAACACACCGTATGTTACTTTTGGAGGAGAGATAAATGTTCAACTCGCTTAAGTGTGTTAGACAGTGCCAGTGAGACTGTTAGTTTGTGAGGAAGTACAGGGCTGAATTGTGCTTGCACATATCTGATATAACCACAGACAGTGTGTTGTGAATAAAGTTAACTGATGTTACATCATCCCAGTTCTCCCCTCAATAGCATTTGTGTAATGCATCAGCGGCTAATGCCAGGCCTCTGACACAACTCACTTGAAAGATGTCTGTTTCACATTCATAATGAATTTGTTTTTCATTTTAATTTGTAATTTTTCACATTAGCTTTTGTGATTGAAACTAATTCGCCAATAAAAATTAAAAGTTATTTTGAGACATATTCAAAATGTTTTAAGGGTAAGTGATTTATTTACTTTTAATGATTTTCATGATTGACTTGGTTGATTTTTTTTTTTTTTGTGGAACTTGACAGATAGGGTTGCAATAAGCTATTATTGTATGGAAAGATTGTGTTGTATAAATATTCTTTAAAAAATTACTTGTGTTGCATAGAAAAAAATAACTATTCATGTTTGGAACAACATGAGGGTTGAATAAATAATGTATCTATATATTAATATATAATATAAATTACATTTTAAAATATATTCAAATAGAAAAATAGTAAAAAATATTTCAAAATTTTACTGTTTTTGCTGTACTTTGGATCAAATAAATGCAGGCTTGGTGAGCAGAAGAGACTTCTTTAAAAAACATTAAAAACCTTACTGTTTAAAAACTTTTGACTGGTAGTGTATATGTATTCGTGCATGTCATCAGTGAATTCAGTGACAAGTCATGGTCATGTTTTTGAACTAGTGTGGGGTCTGATAAGCCCCTAAGAAGACCCAGCCAATTCTGACACTACACTTATGGACATTGACTATATTTGTGCTGAGCAATCTGTATTTGCATGTATTTGTAAATGGTGCATTAGTGATGATACAGCCGGCGGATAAGTTTACACGTTGTTATATTTGGTTCTCCACACGCGCCTCATGTCTTTATCGTCTCTATTGTTTAAGGTAACAAAAGAGATAATATGGCGTTGCTCTAGACGGATCTATTCCTGGCTAATGGGCAGTGTAGTGAAAGGGGAACCTGATCCTCTGCAGGATGTCTAGAAGTCAGCAGCCGGCGGATAAGTTTACACGTTGTTATATTTGGTTCTCCACACGCGCCTCATGTCTTTATCGTCTCTATTGTTTAAGGTAACAAAAGAGATAATATGGCGTTGCTCTAGACGGATCTATTCCTGGCTAATGGGCAGTGTAGTGAAAGGGGAACCCGATCCTCTGCAGGATGTCTAGAAGTCAGCGGGTTGACATTTGGCCGCCGATGGACCGGTGTGTGTTTGGTTGTAAGGGAACACTAGGCCTCAGCGGAGTTGTCAAAACAAAGGGGCCGCTCTCACCAGGACTGACTTACCGACTGTCAACTTGAGTATGTGTACACTGAAAAGGTTGATTATGACAGAGGA